AAAAAGTCAGAATTCTGACTTTTTTCCCATACTATACTGAAATAAAATAAAAAAAATCAGTTAATTTTTTTGTTTTTTCCAGTGGCCCTAATCCTCTTCCGTATAGAATACATTTAAAGGGAACGCCATTTTTTTTTACATTGGGCCCTTGATTTTACGTTATTACATCATGTTCATACACACTCCACTTTGTTTAAAAAAATATATAAATATAAAACAGGATTCGCCTCCATGTTCTGAATGCTGGCGTACCATAAAGAATAAATTATGATCAGTTTAGTTTGTGCCTTCAACTCGTTGCCCATAGGAAGACGTTACTGGATATAACCTAACAGAATATCTTCAGAACGGCTCCAAATGACACAAAACTCATATAGGTGAGTAGAACATGATGGAATAACGTAAAATCAAGGGCCCAATGTAAAAAAAAAAAATGGTGTTCCCCTTTATAAGCAGTTTGGGAGCATAAAGAAAATCATTTATATACAAATAAATCAACTGTTAAGCCCAATTAAGGACCGAGCCTTGGTGGTACTCCCTTCTCTTTATCATATAATTCGGATTTTAACATTTGTATCATTTTCTATTTTCTGAGAAGCTTGAAAGCCATTGATATTCTGCTCCTCTTATGTTGTATTTTGCACAGAAGGTGAATAATTAAAATCTGTGCATTTATCACCTGTTTTAAACAGTGAAGTCTTACAGAATCCTGCAGAAAGCTGATAAAGATGAAAACTTACTGTTGCTGAATCACCGTATCAATAAGCAAAGTGTGATTGATTTATCTACATTTATACATTATTGTTTACATGCAGTAGCTTGAAGTGAACTGACCTGGACTGAGGTCTGTGATGCTCCTGCCATCCATAATTATAGGCATAATCCTGAGAGGTGTATGGAAACAGCTGAGCTCTAGGTGGGCCTGGGAAAGCAGGCATGTAATGGGCATCAGGGCGGCTCCAATGTGGGCCCCTGTCTCTGGGGTCCGGCGGAGGATACTGCATGTCCCATTCCTGCTGAGTAAACCTGGAGTAATGCTCTTTGTCTTGTTTTCTGTGACTGGGGTCAGGCAGCTGCTGGCCTCTCCGATCCATCTCCAAGGTTAGACTTTAACACCTCAAGTATCCATTAGAATAACACTTTATGTTGGTTTGATTTTTAAAATGGAATTAACCAAAATGATTGAAGGAGTAATGCTGCAATACTCACAGCTCAGAGAAGAAGGCAAAGTGCATCAGCAGCTGCCACATCATTGGTGAGGAAACACACATGAGCTGATAAAGAGTCAGTCTGATAACAAGAGGAGAAAGTTCACACACTGTTACCCAAAAAAGATTCAGCAGTGGCAGAGAAACAAGAGAAGCAGTCTGAGGGAGACAAAGGTTAGATTAAAACAAAGAAAAAAAAAAGTTTAGTTTTATAAAGATAACAGTTTTCAAAGATTTCAGATTATATTTAGATTAATTAGATTAAATGTGGAGAAAATCTCTTCATCCCACTTCCTGTCAGTGAGCTGTAGGTAAAAGTGGAGCACGCCCTGACAGCTGTTCCAGCTGTGATCCATCCCCTCTGGATGATTTATAAAAATAAAATAAAATCACTCACAGTCTCCATTAGTGTGAATGTTAATCCCAATCCAAGGATTTGTCATGTTTGAGGAAAAAGGCAACTTTGTTCGCTGTGATTGTTGCCACGTTGTCGGTAGTGAAGCTGTTCAGGGAGCAGACACACTGAGCCGATCCCAGGTCAGCTATAAGGAACATTCAGGGAAATGGGAGATCTGGAAACTGACCTCTAATCAGCTCTGGGACCGACTGCACAGTCGCTTCAACATGTGTCCACAAGAGGGCGCAAGAGTATAAACTACGAAACTGCAGCGCAGCATAACTGGCTTCATTTTTTTTACTTTTCTGGAATCATATTCCGATTTAAAAAAGGGAATATATCAGTCTGTGTGTGAGAAAAAAATAATCTGGAAAAAAAAAAGAATGCAAATAAACTTTATAATCTGCAGCTATGGTTACATTTTAGATGCATTCAACTTAAATTTTGGTTTTAGTTTGGTTGGTGATAAATATTTGACTGGGGATATTTTCTGAGTAAAAACAAAATACAACATTTCAATAACCAATAGTCTTAAAATCACAGGTTCTAGACAATCAGGTAATCTCAGATTAACACTTAAAAAGTTGGCAATACTCTTAGATTCATTTAAAGGACTTGATCAATATTTGTTTGATTCTAATTGGTTAGGGCATAGAGCTTGGAATCAGGTTTTTGAGCCCCACTCCCACAGACTGCCACTGTGGGTCTCTGAGCAACACCCTGAACCCCACACTGCTCCATGGGCGCCGCATGATGGCAGCCCACTGCTCCCCAATGGGATGGCTTAAATGCAGAGGTAAATTTCTCCAATGTGAGATCAATAAAGTTCAATTATTATTATCAATTATTATAATATCAAGGATTTAACTGAAAAATGACATGTCCGAAATAACGAGACCGCGGATATAAGCGG